AGACATACCCAACCAGTTACCCCCTCCTTTTGCCTAAAATCTTAGGACCAGGGTGTGTGCCATTTTCCTGATGCTCATCCTGTGTCTTTATATTACAATCTTTTTTTCATAGATGTGGAAATCTTATGTCCCTATATCACAATCACTGCCACATATATCCTTCCTCATCACTCTCTGTTCATAGAAATGTCCCTAATAAGAGAGAATGTAGAGGGGGCAGCTAGGTGGCACAGTGGATAGAGTACCGGACCTGGAGTCAGGATGATCTGAGCTCAAATCTGGCCTCAGATACATAATATTTCCTAGCTGTGTGACTCTGGGCAAGTCACTTAACCCCAGTCGCCACACACACACACACACAAGAAATGCTTGTAAAAAAAAAACAAAAAAAGAGAATGTAAAGTGCTTTGCAAACATGAAAGCACTATGGAAATTTTAGCTATTCTTAGGAACAGAAATGCAGAAATGGCACTTCAACAAAAGCAAACTTCCTATCAACCATATTTGAATGTATATCCTATATTCTGTACTTCTAGGTATTGTCACTATTCCTCAGGTCCTAGATCCTTAGTCCTTGTCATTACATTCTTTTCACCTTCCTTTTTTATTGCTTTCCATTGATATTTTTGGAGTCACTATATACACCCTTGTCCTTTTCTTCTGAGCATGTCTTTGCATTGGTTTGTTTCAGTCCTCCCATGCCACCCTTCATCGCTCTAAGCATCCTTTCTCATATTGTAAAAGTCATGCATTTCATTCACATGCCATAATCTATTGAGACACTCCCCAGTCAATGCCCTTCCCAGGTACTCCTTGACACCTGGCCACTGGATTAAAAATAGAGTCCCTCCAGAGACCATGGCCTTATCCCTTTTGGAGATCATTGATTCCCCATTGGAGCTGGCCCTGAGGCAGAGCTGCCCTGGCTGATGTTTGGAGGGTGAGTAAATCAAAAAGCCTCACCCCTCCCAATGCAGCCACGACCCAGACTCTGACCCATCCAGTCCTTGGGGCCTACTTCTGATCATCAGGCTAGAACCTAGGATTCTCCTGCTACCCTGCTACTTCAGCTCCTGCTTCTTGATACCAGCCACTGGACCAAAAGTAGAGACCTGCCAGAGGCTGACTTCTTACCATGTGTAAAGAATTCATAATCATTTGGAGCTGGATCTGAGGCAGAGCTGCCTTGGCTGGTGTTTGGAGGGTGAGTAAATCAAGCAAGCCTCACCCCTCCCAATACATCCAGGACCCAGACTCTGACCCATCCAGTTTCCAAGACCTACTTCTGAACATGAAGATAGAACCTGGGAATCTCCCTTTACCTCTCTTCCTCACACCTCCCCCCAACTTCTTGACATTAGGCCACTGGACCAAAAGTAGGGACCCTAGAGGTCCCCTCCCATGTGTAATGGATTCAGAACCGTTTGGAGCTGGCCCTGGGGCAGAGCTGCCCTGGCTGATGTTTGGAGGGTGAGTAAAATAAGCAAGCCTCACCCCTCTATAGCACAGCAGGCAACAGACTCAAACCCATCCAGTCTCTCAACCCTCCCTCTGACACACAGGCAGGGACCAGGCCACTGCTATCCACCTTGCCAACAGACTTGCCTCTTGAATCCAGGACACCAGACCAGGACCAGAGAGACTCCTTCTCCCAACCCAGAATGAGATAGGCTATTTCTTGCTGGAACTGGCTCTGGGGAAGAGCTGATCTGGCTGATGTTTGGAGGGTGAGTAAATCAAGCAAGCCTCACCCTTCCAGAAGCAGCCAGGACCCAGACTCTGACCTATCCAGGCTCTCAACACCACCTGTGTAGGTCCTAGAACTTGTCTTTTTTTTTTTTTACACTGTCCACCCCTGCTTCTTTCCATTGCTTCATCTTTACAATTTTCATCATAGTTTTTGTTTTTACGTCACCTTCATTTTCAAATATGCCCATCCCCATCATTTCCAAAGTAAGCCATTCACTAGAACAAAGAATTAGAAAAGAAATGGAGTTGAAAAACAATTCAGCTAAATAACCAACTAATACATTGAGTTAACCTGCATGCAATGTTATATACTCATGGCACTTCAATATCTACATAGAAAAGATAGAGGTGACTTTGCTCAACTTGTCTTGAGGAACAAGATCCTTTGTTATTACAATGACAGTGCACTCACTTTCACCATTGACACTGTGGTAGTCACTGGATACATTGTTCTCCTGGTTCTCCTTCCTTCCCTCTGCAAAAGTTCCTAAGAAGCTTCCCATTCCTCCTCCCTAAATCCTTGGAATTCCTCTTGGTATCTATTGCTGCCATCATATAATTGATTCCTCCAATCAATGTCCCACCCTCAGCAGTTTCTTGACAGCCTGCCACTGAATATGAAGGAGAGCTTTTCCAGAGTCCTTGGCCCCTCTAGGTGTAGGTAATTGACCATGGAAGCTAACCTGGGATAGAGGTGCCTACACTGTAGTATAGAGGGTGAGTAAATCAATGACAAACCTTAGCCCTCCAAATCCAGCCAGGTCCCAGACTCTGACCCATTCAGTCCCTGGACCCAACTTCTGATATATAGGACATGACCAAGGTCTTTCCATTTACCCAGCTTCTTGACATCAGGGCACTGGACTTAAGAGAAAGAGAGAGAGAGTCTCTCCAGAATCCATGTCCCATCTCCTTTGTGGAGATAACTACATCCTAAATTAACTTGACCCTGGGTCAAAGCTGCCTTGCCTGAAACTGCAGAGTAATTCATTTAATAATACATCACCCCTTTAACAACTAGACAGAGCCCAGACTCTGCCCCATGCTGTAATGAGGCCCTCCTTCTGACCACCAACCTAGAACTTGGGACTTTCCATTTACTTCTTGTCATGAGCCCTTTAGACCATAAGTAGAGGTCTTATGGAGTCCATAACAACCTCCCTTCCCTTTCTCTCACCCCTCTGAGTTCTGTATTAACTCACCTTTGGAAATGGTCTAGGGGAAGAGCTGACCTGGCTGATGTTTAGAAGGTGGAAGCCTCTCATGTCTAGACCTAGCCCAGCTCAGACATACTCAACTAGTATTTAGCCTCTATCTTTATCTGAACAGGACTGGGGACCTGCCATTTTTCTGAAGGTCATCCTTGATTCTTTACCATACAGTCTTTTTTTCCTCAAATATGGAGATCTTTTGTTTCTATATCACCATCAATGAAACATATGTCCTTCCTAGTTATCCCCTGCCCAGAGAACCATTTCTTATTACAAAGAATGGGAAAATAAATTCAGAAAAGGCACTCCTTCAAAACCAAATGCCACATCATTTGAATTTAAATTTGAATCCGTATGCAGTATTCCACACATACAGTCTCACACATTGCAAAGCAAGGAAGCAAGCACATTTTCTCAACTATCCTCTAGGATCTAGATCCTTAGTTATCATCATTATAATCCCTTCACTTTCTCTTTTTACTACTTTTCATTCACTTTTTTTGGAGCACTTGGGTACCTTTTTTCGTTGCTGGCCACCTCTCTTCATAACTTCCTATCAATCTTCCCCCAACTTCCCCCCATCATTCCTGGGCAAAATGATTTTACATGACAATAATCATGGACTTCATTCATGTACCATAATATGTCAAACCAATTTATGTCCCTGTCCACTACTTAACACCTGGTCATTGGGCCAAAACTGGACACCCTCCCGAGTCCATGGCCTCATCCCTTTTAGAGATCATTGATTCCCCATTGGAGCTGGCCCTGAGGCAGAGCTTCCA